CCCCAAAACCCCAAAACCCCAAAACCCCAAAACCCCAAAACCCCAAAACCCCATAAATATTAAAATAATTATTATTTCGAATTTTAGATAAATCTCTAAAATGGAATCTGGAATTTATGGAGGGTTTGGATGGGATTCTGGTATCAGCTCTCTTGTAGAAGACACCGGTCTTCACAACAAGGAAGCAAGCTGATGTCAAGAATACGCTGTTAATGAAGATCCTAATAATAAATACAGAGCTTATATGGAAGATACCTATAGCTGTAATGATAATTTTGCAGGAGATGTAACTTGAGGCCTCTTCGGTGTCTATGATGGACACGGAGGGAACACTGTTAGTGAATACCTCAAAGAACGTTTTCCTGATGAATTAAAATCAAGGATTGAATCAGAGTCACCTTCTGATCTAGTCACTATAATAGAAGAAACTTTTGAGAAAATTGATGATGAACTCAAGTTGATGGATTCTGATACTTGTGGATCAACAGCATGTATTGGAATTATTAGAATGGAAAGTGGACATAAGGTGCTATACATTGCAAATGTAGGCGATACCCGAGCAGTTTTATCTAGAAACGGAGTGGAAGAAAGACTCTCAGTTGACCATAAAGTTGCAGATAAATCTGAACATGATAGAATTATCAAAGGAGGGGGAGTAATAATGAATGATAGAGTTGGAGGCACTCTTGTCCTAACAAGAGCAATGGGAGATTTTGCACTAAAGGATAGTGGAGTGATATGCCAGCCAACCATTAGAAAACATTTTATTCGTCCGTTTGATAGATTTGTAGTCATCGCTTCTGATGGAGTCTATGATACACTATCTGACGAAGATGTAGTCGGGTTGTGAGATATCGAAGAATCCACTGATAAAATATCAAAGAACATAATAGTGAAAGCTTTGGAGAAAGGGTCCCAAGATAACCTCTGCTGATGTGTAATTAAGTTGTAATTTAAAGTTCTTCTAAGTAGCTTTGCTAAAGCATTAAATATTTACTCTCTAAGAGGGGTTTTGGGGTTTTGGGGTTTTGGGGTTTTGGGGTTTTGGGGTTTTGGGGTTTTGGGG